GGTACTCGAAACCTGAATACCATGTACGTACACTAAGCCCGGAACGGGTGATGTCGGACTAGTAAGTCCCGCACATCACGCTATAAGAGACGCAATTACGCATGATCTCTTACGCATGCATATGATATGATATGCTACAATATGTGTGATGAAATGAATGCTATGACATGAACAATTTGTAAACAATATGAATATATAATCATGCATTAGTTTATTTGGATGAAACATGATTAAAATATCATTTAATTAAGCTACGGGGCTCGGAACGGTCGACCTTGATCTTCATCAGGTCGGATTGGCGGATCACCGTGACGGTCGAGCGCGGTTGACCGGCGGTCGATCGTTGTTGACTGGCTGGAAGTGACGGCCCTCGGCTAGACAAGCGGCGATCGACCGTTCGCCGTCGGCGGTCGACCGTTCTGCTGACAGTCGTGGTCTGTTTCGAAGTTTTAACACGACGGTCGACCGTGCGAATCTTTCTCTTGATATTTTGAGTGTCCAAAATACTTCTTTAAGTCTTTTAAACACCTTTGATTAACATATACATATTGTTGGGTTGATTTCCAAGGTTTGTATCTTCTCATGTGTATATTAACTTTATGAATTTGGTGTATTTTAATTTCAACACATGGATGACTTAGATATGTATCACATATATATTTTGGGATGATTTCAACATATGGAATAATATATATGTTCATGTACGAATGTGATGAATGATTCGACAAGTCTAACGCAAGGGTACAGACCTGGAAATCATTGGCCGAAACCTTACGGATGAGCGGGAGTGGAAACAACATCGAAATTCGCCAACTTTGTCATTCTCGTCACAATTGGACAGCCTGCCGTATTTTGGGCATATCTCCATCGTTTCTTCACGGAATTGCACACCGTTTGATTCTCTGGATTTCTAAGATGTAAGGCTATAACTTTCGTATAGAAAGTATTTCGAGTTAACAGATGTAAGATAGCGGAAATCGGACCTGAAGTCAAAGGATAGTTGCTGTCCAGGATTTCGGATATGTCGATGAACAACGATTCTGACGATTAACTCATTAACTTCAATATTCCAACACCGAACCTTCTCTACGATACCTTCCGGATGTTCCCAATAATTGTTAGAGAGTTTATGGTAAGTGTTTGGAATGAAACATCATGAATATGGTGAGGAACATGGTCCAACCCGAGGAGCTCGCCACCACTGGCGCAGTCCTGGTATTTTAGCTATATTTTCTTCGTTACTTAACGAAATCGCGAGCCGTTTGTTGGGCTGGATTTGTATCGTCCGGGGCTACAAATTTGGTTCGGAAAGTATTTCGAGAATATGGATGGAAAATTTCAGTTTTACCTTAAAGTGGCTGCTGCGTTTTTGAGCTTAAGATTTGGAAACTTTGGATGGTTTTCTTGCTTCTTCTCCTTCTTCCTTAACATACAACCATGGAGTTGGAGTTTTCTTTTCTTTTCTTTGTTGCTGCCGACAGAGAGAGAGATGAAGAGAGGTGGATGCATGTGGATGGATGATGGTGGAACATGATGATAATAATGATAATAGTGGTTTTTGGAGTATTATCTAATTAGTTTGAATTATTGTATTAATGAAGTTAGTGGAGGATTATAATGAGATTGTGGTTATCTCCTAGGTTGGCTACGTGATGTTGGGAGAGATTTGGGAAAATAAAGTTTTGGCTTCTTGCCAAAACTGAACAGTTTACTCCAAACGGTACGCGCTTTTTTGCCCAAACTGTTCCGAATTAAAAACGGATTGCGATTTTGGAATGAGACTGTCAAAACTAGAATTTTGACGTAATCAAAATATTTTTCTGAGAACTTTTATTTTTCTTAATGTCTGGGTCTGTCTGTGTCGTAAAATAATTTAATAATATGAATGAGATAAAAATATATGAATTAAATTCAAATGATAAATATGGTGTTGTCAAGTGTTAGAGATTAAGATTTCTAATCTTATAAAATCACTTTTGAATTGACTTTATTTTATGGGTCAAAGTTACAAATTTTAATATTTAAAACCGTCATAGTTTGAAATCTATAAATCAGATGGGTTCATAAAATGTACCGTTGGATTCATCTCTTCGAGACATATCCATAAAAATAAGTTTTTTTAACAAAAAGTAATTATTTTGAAAGTCCATTTATTTTTGGTCAAACGTATAAATATTCCTTATTGGACAGAATTTACTTTTGTTTTATAATAAATTTTAGGCCATATTCTGTGGCGTTACAGAGAGAGAGAGGATAAGGAGAAGAAAAGAGATAAAAGGGGGAGGAGGGATGACAAGTGGAGAAAGAAAGGTCAGGGGAGTGGAAGAAAAGGAGGAGAAAAGGAAGGGTATTTTAGGAAGAATAGAGATGAATAAGTAGAATGGGAATATTATTTTTGGACGGAGAAAAGAGTAAAATGGGAAGTTTATTCCCGGACGGAGGGAGTAATTATTATAACGGATACTTAAATTCGAAAAAGGTTAATCCAAAAGGGTCATTTTGAAAAATTACTCTACATTTAAATGTTGAAAATACCTAAATTTCCTCCACTAAACATCCATTTAACAAACATATACGGAGGATACTGAGCGGATAAATCTCAACTATAAACTGCTACATAGATAATGAATGTTTAATAACACTGATTTTGGAAAATACCTTATTTGAAAAGACTATTTTGAGATTACTCAAAGAAATTTATAAGTTATAATTAGGTGATTAAAAGACTTAAGACTATATTTTCTAAAAAAATTATATGTCTCATGATTATGTACTTTATTTTTAGACAAATGGATAATACGTATACTATGCATATCTTACCTAGAACTTTTGTTTATGGTAAGATGACTTATTATGATATGAAATAAAGTAGGGAGAAGTACGGGAATATCACTAGGATATGTGATTAATGCCCAAAATAGCATTGTTATTCAGAATGGAAGTCCCGCATGGACATAAGTGTTTGAAATGCCAATTTTGCCCTTTTATAACAAGTATCACCAAAATTTTGGCAAAAGGCACCTGGGTTTTTGCCACACTGCCATCATCACTACCACCTCTACCACCGCATTGCCTCCCTTCGTACCACACTATCATCATCACCACCACCATCGCTGCCACACGTATTGCCGCCCACTACCACCACATATCTCTTTGTGCTACCGCCACTACCACATTGTCATCGTCATCACTACACTTCCATCGCATCCGCCACCGGCCCACTACAATCCTGTCACTATCACCTCCACAACCATCACCACACTGCCATCATCATCGCCAGATTGCACGAAGCTACATCGCCACACTGCAAAAATCCTCCACAACACCACCATCTCCACTGTCACACTGTCACCTCCATCGCCACACTACCACCACGCTGTCCGCTATCGCCACACTG